GCATAATGATTATGCAGTGAAATAGTCGTTATAATTTCATTTCTGCTGTGATTCCTGGTTTTAAAAAAGAGGAACCCAACTTTTGTTGATCAGGAATGTCCAATGAAAATAACTGAAGTGAAATTGTGAACTAGATTTCTGGATCCTTCTTCTTATCTTCATATTTAAGCATCACATCAGTCAAATCATGCAATAACTGCCTTCATTTGTAGCATGCCTAAATCCTTCAAAGATCCTAGTCCTTGAAGGCATATGTATAACTAGTAATATACGTCCTTGGTCCCTTACTGTTTTCCAAAATAAGGTTGATTTTCATCTCACGTAAAAGTGACTAATTATAAATAAAGCCCTCAAACTTTAGCTGAAAACCCCTGCTATTTACATAATAAAAGACAATGTTTGACGTGCCCTTTTTGAATTATCAATCAGCGTGCTAAAGTGCCCTTTTCTTGATTGGCTCCCTGCCCTTTTGAAATCCTAGCTGGAACACTGTATTTCATACACCAAATACAGTTGCCCCATTGCTTATACATGCAGTATCTAAGAAACAGACCTAACCATACAAACTTATCATTGACCAATGAATTGTAAAAATGAGGTCAAGGTCAGATGGACTTTATAAAAAGGGCTATAATTTCACATTTTGGACAAAATCAACGCGACATGTAATTTTATTTTGAATAATGCAGATTCAGAAAAGCCTCAAAGTATTTGTATATTGCCTAAAAGAATCTAACAAAATGTCTATTAATGCATGTTAATAGAGAGGCGGAAGATACATGTACCACAGGGATATTCAACCTCATAAGATGAAGACAAACTGATAGCACCATGGTATGTCTGTAGGAATTGCAAAATTATAGAATTCGGTCATTATTGGTCCGTCTCCAATCCATGGCAAGTATAAATTTTTTTGCCCAAGAAAAAATAAAAAAAACAAACAAATTTTGACATCTATTTGGAAAGGATGACATTTTCAATGCAATTAACGGATCAAACATTAACTTAAGCCAATTTTAATCACACTTAATAAACTAACAAATTTGTTTGCCAAAAAAATCAAGATTATTTTGTACCCTCGAGTGACAGAAGTTAAAGAAAATGCTTTGATTTGTTTGCATAAAAAGTTGTTCCTTATGACAGACTACATGAATGAATTTTATTTTTACAGGACATTCGGACTGGTAAACAACCTAGCTTTACCAGACCAAATTTAAATTTTACCAGACCATTTTTTTTTACATCTAATTGTATATTATCCGACAAAATACAAAACACTTATGATTTGTTGTGCCCTACTCCTCTCCAAAAATGCACAAAAACGAAATCATGTGAAAAGAGTGTTAAAGTGATGAAAGTTGTGCACAATTGCTTGAATGCATTTCAGTGATTAAGAAAAGTAATGTCACATTTTATTGGATTATGACCTGAAAATTATTTGTGAACTAAAATTATTTAAAGTTTCTGTAAAAAATATTTCCTGTTTCTTCTTTCTTTTTCATATATATTTTGGTTTTCAATTCTAGTGTTTATATTTCATAGCTGTATTTTGTGACCTGCTTGGATTTTTTTTTTATTTATTTATTGTATTTGATCGGCAAAGCCGGAATTAGCCTTATCCGTTCCTGGAATCTGATCTGGTATTGTCTACATTTCCGGTTGATGGCAGCCATTGTTTTTTTCGTCAGTCAGATATGTTTTTACTCGGATTTACACATTACTTGTTGGCGATTTTCGGCATAAAGCTAGCGGTTGAACAAAATAAACATCGCTGTCATGAATAATAAAGATGAAAATGAATTTTGAGATCGTTTGGGAATTTTGCTAGAATGCTAGAAAAATCCTGAAAAAAAACAACACCGGACATTCGGACTGGAATTCAACAAAATTTTACCAGACCGATCCATTATTCACCGGATTTGTCCGATGGTGCGTCGAATTTCGTGTAGTCTGTTATGAAATGATATTGAGACAAGTCCAGTGATCTACTCAGGATATTTGGATAGCACCAGGGTAACGCGTGTGGACAGCTTGGTGAAATGATTCATACAATCAGTTGTGTCGCGTCACGTCACTTAGCTATATTTCTAGTTACTGCAGTATGTCTCTTGTTTTGTTTTAACACTGTGGTACTGTGTTATGTAGACATTGAGTCAGAAAATTATTGGTAAAAAAAGAAGTTAATCAATAAACAGTTTGTATACTTTAATATTTTTTTAAATAAATAAAACATGATTCATTACAAAATATTCATCTAAATTTAAAGTAATCAAATCTTTTATAAAATCCATATCAATAAAAATAAAATATCATTCAAAGGAGACCAAAAATGTTCAATTTGAAAAAACTTTCGAGTTCCTAGAAAGAAAGTTGTTGTATATGTGAAAGGATTCTTGTCATAAGGAGATATAAAATAACAAGAACAAATATTGATTTAATGTTTGAACCAGTTTCTATGTTAAATTTAAAAAAAAAAGAAATTTTTCATAAATTTAAAAACATTTTGCCATAGATTTCATGTAAATATTAACCTTTCTTGTCTTTGGTGATAATCAAACATTGATACAGACTTAATACTGCACTGAAATCCAAATCTTTATTTGTCATGGTCCATTCAAAAAGAATTCCTAAATCTATAAATTTATCTTAGGTCTATAAACAACCATATTCAATGTCAACAACAAATTAAAGTCTCCCTATTTTTCCCGCCTAAATGACAGGAAGTAGATATAAATAGATTTAACATGTGCTTATGGATAAAATTTGCAAGATAACTTCTGTTATGCATTAATTGTGGATATAGATATCCAGTTTGAAGGTACAGTCATACATTTCATTTATTAAATAGAATAGATTGCAATTAATTGCAAATAAACTTTAATATGCTACGTGAACTAACTGGGTCATGTGATATGTACATATGTCTGTCCCCTTCACAGATACTATAGTTTGAAACCTAATATCATGCACTAACTATGTCATAATTAAAGAAAGAATTTTGGTCATGGTTTAATGAGACATATTATACTATACTATACTAATGAGCCAACTTTATTATGTACAAAAAATGTACAGGTGTGTGTGCAACTATCGGGTTCACACTGTTCCTGTACAAAGTATTTGCAGACTTGTCACAGGTCAGTGCTTGGGTTGTGAGTGAAGCCATAAAATAGTTTAATATCAGTGATCATAAAGTTATGAACTCCTAATTAAAACACAAAAGAATAATGTAACAAGTGTTAATTACATCGATTAAATCCAATCAACAAGGTTAACCTCAAAAGGTAAATCGATCATGTGGTGTCACATTCTGGTTAACTGGCATGGTTTGAACTGGTCAAATTTCAACTGGAATTTTATACCGCACGGAAAAGATTTAACAAATTGCTTAAAACTTTATCGATTTACGATTTTTTTTACTGAAAATTTTCACCACGGTAAAAAATTATACATCGCGGTAAGACCGATACCACCACTGTCAAAAATTATATACATCTCGAGAACACTGAAGTCTACAAAGTCAATGTTATCCCAATGGTTCTATAAAATATGTTGTCTACATGCATGTCAATTATGTCTTTGAAATTCTCCATTTACATCTACTTGGTAGAATGCAAATTAATGACTAAAACTGTCATCAATACCTGAGCAACAAGAAAACAACTTTGGTGGTCGGATAAAGCAAGTGACAAATGGGAAAAGGGACTTACTCGCCGTAATTGTGGGAGTCTACATGTAGCGGATACCAGGGGTTCTAGATTGGGTTTGCAGAAGAGAATAATGGGCAAAACTTGCCAAAAGTGTAGAATAACGAGCAAAAAATATAAAGAATATAGAATTATGTGTCAAAAATATAAAGAATAGAGAATAAATGTGGATAGTGTCCACATGTTGACACAGATGATGCCCCAACTTGCATATCATATAGTTATAAAGGGACATAACTGAAGAACAGTAAAAGTGACGCTACCCAAATTTGAACTTGATCTGAGTTTTGTGTGTAAGTCTCATAACATTTGGTTGAGGCTAACTTAAGTAGAGAACAGAAACTAAAAATTCAGCAATTTTTCTATTTATAAAGGGGTATAACTCAATAATGGTTAAAGTGACACTACCAAAATTCAACTTGATCTGTGTTTTATCAGTGGAAGTCAAAATTAAACATTGCATTGTATAAAGCATTGATTGTAGTTGATTCAACTATAATCATAGACAAAGGAAGATAACTCCAATTTTAAAAATAACTTGATATTTAGAAGAAAATAAAAATTTAGCAATTTTTCCATTTATAAAGGGGCATAACTCTAAACGGTTAAAGTGACGCCACCAAAATTCAAACTTGATCTGTGTTTTGTGGTAATAAGCCTTGTGTATAAGTTTCATAACATTTGGTTGAGGCAAACTTAAGTTAGAGAACGGAAACAAAAATTTTTGCAATTTTTCCATTTATAAAGAGGCATAACTCTAGAACGGTGAAAGTGACGCCACCAAAATTCAAACTTGATCTGTGTTTTGTGGTAATAAGCATTGTGTATAAGTTTCATAACATTTGGTTGAGGCAAACTCAAGTTAGAGAACGGAAACCAATTTTGGGACGTACGTACGTACAGACGGACAAGGGTAAAACTTAATGCCCCCACCGCTACAGCGGGGGCATAAAAATGACCTAAAAATATAAAGAATACAGAAATGAAGGACCCCATGCAGACTGATACCCTTATACCATCTTCCCCTGAAAACCTCCAACAACATACAAGTAAGTAAACATGCAAAATCCACCTGTTTGACAAAAAACCTTGGGAAGCTCATGAGGTACCACCTGTCTCATAAGTTTGTATATTGTTGTAGTTCAATAGTAAATATTTGGATGGCAACCCAGTTTGCAAAAATTTTAGCTGTTTACTTAAATTATGTCCGTGTTAACCAGTGCTATTATTAATTGGATTAGTTTTTGTTTGTTTTGATTTTTCATGTGATAGGTGTAAGAAATAGCAGCTTACTTATGCGGTTTGTATGCTATATTTCAGATAACCGCCATCCAAACAAATTTTGTACATGTGAAAAATTAAAACAAAGTACGCTTGCGCAGTGAAACCGGATGAAAACAATGTTTCTGAAACTTTCGCGGAGAGAGAAATGAATCTCCGGAAATATGCACCAAATCAATTTTGTGCTGAATGCCCAGCGGAATGTGCATGAGTTGAAAGTGATATCAAAATCATTGTTCATCAGTATTTATCGTGTGAGACATATGTTTACCTTTAGATGTTTAAGGTTGTGTGTGTCCGCTGCAGGATAACTCTGCCGATACATCTACATCTACATCTACATCGTACGACGATCCATCAGCACATTGATACGTCGGCGCATCGCAAACAGACACTAATTAAAAGATAACAATTTTAAGAGTGCAATAATCAAAAATAATTTTGTGCAAAAAATAAAAATAAACACATTTACATATATATACAAACAGGGTAGATATGTAAATATACTGACTTTGGATCAGTGTTTTAAACTGATCCAAAGAGTTGACACTGATTATGTTTTGTGAGAGTGAATTCCAAAGTACAACTGTGTATGGGAAAAAGCTGTACTTAAAGTAATCTGTTCTGGTGCTGAATGTTTGATATTGTAGTGAATTTGTGAATCTGGTGTTTTTGCCTGGCTGTGGTGAAAGGTAAAGGTTTGGGTCTACTGCTATAAGGTGGTGTGTGATTTTATACATCATTGTTACTCGGTTGATGTTTCTACGAGTTTCTAGTGACTTCCATTTAAGATGGTCAATCATGAAAGTGACACTACTGGTGTTGTGGTACCTGTTGGTGACGTAGCGTGCTGCCCTTCTCTGTACTTTTTCGATGTTGTTTTTTTGTTTTTGGGTGTTAGGCCGAGACCAAACTGAAGAGCAGTATTCTAGGTTTGAACGTACCATAGATTTATAAGCCAAACTTTTTGTTTCTTCTTGGTTTATTTTTAGGTTTCTTTTTAAAAAGCCCAAGATCTTATTTGCTTTAGCTGTAATGTTGTTTATATGAGTATCCCAAGACATGTTGTTGGATAAGGTGATACCAAGATATTTTGCTGTGTTGACGGATTCTAAAAAGTGGCCTTTAAGTATATAGTTATGTTTGTATGGTGACTGTGATCTTGTTACAGTAAGTGAATTGCATTTTTCTGGGTGAAATTGCATACCCCAAGTCTGTTCCCATTTGGCTAGGCAGTCTAGGTCATTTTGTAGGATGTTACAATCTTGCTGATTTTTAATTGTTCTGTATAAGATACAGTCATCTGCAAACAAGCGTGTTTTTGATGTTACTGTTGCAGGAAGATCATTTATGAAAATCAGGAAAAGAAGAGGACCCAAGACTGAGCCTTGAGGCACCCCACTGACCACAGGCATTTGACCAGATACCTCCCCCATCTAGGGCAACCTGTTGCGTTCTATTACTAAGGAAGGCTGATACCCAATTCCAGGTATTTCCCCTTATGCCATAATTATCCATCTTCCTTAGTAATCTTTTGTGAGGTACCTTGTCAAATACCTTGGAGAAGTCTAAAATTATTAAGGTCTGTTTGTATGCCGTTATGAAGGTTACTGAGTAGTTCGTGACTTAATGTAAGGAGTTGTGTTTCACAGCTGCGTTTTACTCTGAAGCCATGTTGATTGTCCACTAGTATGTTATGTGTGTCCAGATGTTTTAGTATGTTACTTACTACAATGTGTTCTAGTAATTTGCAGCATATACACGTTAGGGAGACAGGCCTGTAGTTACTGGCTAGGTATTTTTCGCCTTTTTTAAAAATGGGAATTACATTTGCCTGTCTCCAGTCTGATGGTACATCTCCCTTCAAAAATGATGTGTTAAAAATGAAAGTGAGATGTGGTGCAAATTCAGATGCAAATTGTTTTAGGATGCGTGCTGGTATTTCATCTGGACCTGTGGCTTTAGATGGATCGAGATTTTTTAAGAGTTTTTCTATACCATTTGATGTTACATGTATTTCTGACATAGATGGATAGTTGTCTGTAAGAGTTGGTATTTGTTCATTGTCATTTTCGGGTGTAAAAACAGAGTGGTATTGTTTATTAAGTATTTCAGCTTTTTGTTTTGTGTCATCTATCAGCATACCCTCAGATCTTTACGGTGCAACTCCTGAACTGTCTTTTTTTGTGGATCTGATGTAATTCCATATTTTTTTCTGTTTTTGTGTAGTTTCTAGGCTTTTGTCACAGCAAATGATGTTTTCTAAATAAGTCCAGTAGGCTTTTCTTGTCTCTTTCTGAAGTAGTTTTTTTGTTTCCCTGTACTGTTTACTAATTTTATTGTGAGAGTCTGTTTTCATTTTTTGAACAATTTATTCCTTTTTCTAATAAGTGATTTAATCTCTTTATTAACCCATGGTAGTTTCTGTTTTGTGTTATTTATCATTTTTGTTGGAATAGACTCTTCCATGGTTTTCAATACTATTGTTTTGAAATTATCCCAAAGTTGATCCATTGTAAGTTCTTCTATTTTTGCAATATTGTTAAGATTTATGTTGTTTATTTTTTCTTTAATTTGATCATTGTTTGCCTTGTTGTATAGGAATATTTTTCTAGGTGTTTTTTTTTACCTTCCAGGTTTTAAGTTCGATTCGATATATACAATTTCATGATCTGATATGCCAGGAATAACTTCAATCTTATTTACTAGAGAGCTGTTATTAGTAAAAAAGAGATCAAGTATGGACTGTTATGTTTCTGTATAGTGTGTTGGTGTAGTTACAACTTGTTCTTGATAGTTGTCTTGACATATGTCTATTAATTGCTGACATTGTTTTGTATTGTATGCCTTTTGTTTGATTGAGTAATTATTCCATCACCTCCCAACCAAAGGTGACAATTTTCACTTTGTCTTATTCTGGAGATAGATTTTGCTAAGTATGTTAGGTAGTCCTCCTCAGTTTTATTTGGAGGTTTATAAAAACTCCCTATGTATAAATCAGGTGACCCTTTAATTTGTACCTTGACCCAAAGCTGTTCACTTGTATCATCAGATTTTAAATCTGGTGGTTCTGAGCTAAGAAATTTGTCAGATACAAGTATGAAAACCCCGCCATGAGCGTCTGTTTTACGGTCTTTTCTGTATACAGTGTACCCTTGTGGGAAGACCTCAGTAGAATCTATGTCTTTGTGCAACCATGATTCATTACCAATCATTATATCTGGTTTAGTTGTCTCAATAAGATTATCAATGTCATATTTTTTTATTCCTAATGGACTGACAATTTACCACTATTATGCGTAATGGTATGTCAGATCTTTTATTTCTTGTATAATTGTATGACTGTTTAGATGGTTTTTGAATAGGGGAAGATGCTGCTGATGGACTCACTAAATTACATTCACAAAAGGATGAGTTAATAGATGAATCAAATATTAACTAAAACAAAGTTAAATTTTCAAGACAAAAATAACACGGCAGGCCTTTTTCACTCAGTTGAACATTCATGGAATCCGGGACCAATGAATATATAAGTTCCAGATGGAATCTGACGCCTTTTCAGAAGCTTGTTCGTAATCTTTATCCGTCCTAATTGGACAACCAACATCTACTTTAATGGATAATAATAAATAGTTTAGCTTAGAGTTGGCCGATAGTCTGAGACTACCATAATAATCTCAGGCATAGTATACAAAAACAAGGACATAACATACGATCTTTTGACCGACGGAGTAAGACAGCTCTAAACAGAGATGGTGCCAATTTCCCTTTATTTATTTTACTCACATACAGGCTCAAAATCTAAAAAGGTTGTCAAACCCTACTGGAATCTAAATAGTAGATATATAGTCCATATCATACACTTAAACTACTATTTTACATATTTCTATTAGATAAAAGTCTTTTACAGCGCTACATGTTGCTGTTGAAGACACTTTGATATAAAACTATGCAAATTGTACATGGTCTGGTAAACTTTGTCAGAATCTAGTCCAAGGACGTCTCTTAACAAAAAGTATTTATTTGTATTAAAACAGAAAGTTGGATTTGGTTAAGAATGTCCTTCTCATACATTTTTTTTAATAAACTCTCAAAATCTTAAAATTACGGTTATGGGCTAACTCCAGGTGTTTTTGATTTGATCACCAGTTTAGAAATGAGCCATGATATTGTTAGAATCTCAAAGTATACACACGGAGCAGTGACACTTTGCATTTTTTAAGAGTAAAGATTAAAAGATTTTTTTCTAAAATGACCCTGAAATTGAAAGAATTCAGTGGAAATTGGCCCCACCTCTTTGATAAGCAATACATGCTCCTTGAAGTATAGGTAATTATTGGGTTTATAATAAGTACTTGTATGTATATGTTTGTCCCCGAGGGTATCATCAACTCAGTAGTCAGTGCTTCGGCACTGACAGAATTTTTGGCGTATTTCTCTACAATTCCACGTTGATAAATTTGGAAAGAACCATAAGAAACTAATAATCCAACTCCCTCAAGCAAAGTCGACTATAGCTGCAATTGCTATTTCTATGTCCTTTTTGGTCATAAAGCTCTAAAGTGACTATAAATATATATACATGTATATACGTATTCATACATCTCTTGGCTTCCAAATGTTTGGGTTAGAGCGTTACTGATGAAGGTAAATCCAGAGGAACGCTTCGGACGCATAGTTATGATAGCGATTTTACGCCAGTACTTAAAACCTTTCATCTATGGGTGGATTTTACATAGATAAATAAAATCGTATAATATAAGCAAAATGAGGATGTTAAATTTGATGTATGCCTTTTTGTGATTCTTCGTTACATTTGCTTGTTTTTATAGTGATTAAGATGATAACACAATGTTGACTGCTGTACCCCTATTTTTGACATTTTTACCTATTGTGTCCGTTTGTTTTGTTCACGCATCGTTGTCAATATAGTGGAATTTGATGCGACTGTCATACAAGTGAGAGGTTTAGCTAGCTATAAAACCAGGTTCAATCCACCATTTTCTACATAAGAAAATGCCTGTACCAAGTCAGGAATATGACAGTTGTTATCCATTCGTTTGATGTTTGTTTTTTTGATTTTGCCATTTGATTA